GCGGGTTCTTCCCCCCTTATTGTGTGGCCCTCTTAAAATTTTTACCGACCAAAATTCTGCGCTGCTCACCCATTACCCCACACCGTTCCCGCCCCGCCCCCCCACCCGGCCCCCCCGGGACTGAAAGGGTTAAGGTCGTTTAAGTTCAAGTGGTATGACGTCTTCGGCACTCTCAGGGTACAGGACACGTGAAAATATATCCACGGTGAAAGTTTCATACAACACAAGAGAGCCACGATGGCTTGCTTGTTGCAGTGCTTATGGCTGTTAAATGCCAATCCCGATCTCATACGCTTAATTACAATCCCGTTAAATCCCGAAATTAGATGTAAGACGCCACTAATTCAAGGTTAGAACACTATATTAGTTTTTGTTGTTCTATGCAACATTCCATAGAGAATTTTACATTGGTCAGGAATATCACTTTTTTAGCCTTTTCAGTGGACGTTCTCACGGGAAAAAATTCTAAACTCAAAATCGAGAAAAACCTTCGCTTTTCGAAAAGTTGAATATTTTTTCTCCTTTGTATTTTGAAGCTTTCAAATACATACCTTTTTATCCTACCCGATCACCTTTGTCGTTTTCGAATTTTCACGTCGAAAAATTACTGACATTTTTACCAAAAAAATGCAAATCAACGAAAAATTTCGAAATATATATCATTCGACTCGGTTTTCGACGCTAATTTGGAATATGCCATTTTTATTATATAAAAAGTGAGTTCTGGTGGAAAAACTTCGGCCAGAATTCTTATTTTTCCGCTTCTGATTCAGAAAAAAATGCACTTTCTCTGGAATAAAACAACTTTTAAATAAAGCTTGTAACCGAATTTTTCGTGCAATGGATATCACATATGAAAACCTTCAAAAACACATTTCCTAATTTAGTTTTCAATGCTGAATCCGAAAAAAATGCAAGCTTGTTGTTCGGAAGCCTCAAAATACAAAGGAGAAAAAATGTTTAACTTTTCCGAAACACGAAGGTTTTTCCCGATTTTGAGATCCTCGGAGTATTTCGAATTTGGTTCCGTGAAACCGTGCACTGGAAAGGCTAAAAGTTCTCTATCCAATGCTGTATAAGAAAATTAAAAATAAAATACTGCTCCAACTTTGAACTACCGCGGCCTTATGCGTTCTGTTGTCTATCTGGCGTATATATGGAGCGCAAATTCCGATCTATTCTCCAATCCTTCTCTTGATCCCGTCCCGTAAGCTTTATTTCGATCCCGTGAATCTTTTTCCTCCAGTCTGGATCCCGCGTGATCAGGTTCGGGATGTTCTCACAAACCTCTACACTTCAGGCTATCTTTCCATGTACTAATCTCTAAATTGATTTTTTGACAGCGAATCATTATTTTTCAGGGAGAGTTTTACTAATCTACACATTTTAAGTTCGAAACTATTCTAACTAATCTGTACTAATCAAAGAAAAACCAGAAAAATCGTGACGCTGTGACAAAAACGGTCAAAAGTACCACAGCGTCACGACTTTTCTGGTTGTTCTTTGATTAATACAGATTAATTAAAATAGTTTCGAACTTGATAAGCTGTCACATCTTGTAGACCAAACAATTTTCTACTTGAGGAAATAAGGTCGCCGATTCTATCATAGCTTCTGTGATTAGTCATAATTATGTAAAAATATAATCACGGAAACCCATGGAGAAAAACACAGTAGGTGGAACATTGTAAAAAATCGATCCGGAGTTTTTATTAGCATTTTACGGAAACGAAATGAAATGCTTATATCTTACGGCCCATCTACTCTATAAAAAAAGGCGATCGATAGAACCTTTTTTGGTACCCAATTCTAGAGCACTTTTTATGAACCTTTTTAGGTTCAAGACTTTCCGACTAGAACTTTTTTGCAAAAAACATCGAAAAAAAGTTCTACCCAAAAAGTCTAAAATCTAAAAAGGTTCAAGCCGGGAAGTCTGGAACTAGAATCAAAACCGACGAAGAGGTTGATGATGTCCTTTTTTGAGGGAGAGTCTTACTAAGACTCTGCTAAGAATGTTTTAGCAGTTTTCATCACTTTGGAAATGTAGATTCTTGCGAAGTGTAGATCCTCTACGAGATATATTTTTATATCCCGTAGGAGGATATGGTAGATCAAGGCACATCAAGACATGGTGGTTCTAGTTTTTGAGTGTGACTTCATCTTTGAAGAAAACGGATTCTATGCATATCAAGACTGCAGAGCATTTTCACTTGTAAATTCCTACGTTCAGGAATAATTGATTTCTCATCTTTTTCCTCGACGTGTGTCTGTGTTTATATCCTTTCTTGCGCGTTTGAACTGAAAACGATAGACTGATACACTTTGGCGTCTGAGCTATTCAAAAAGCATCGAACTATTTATGCACATATCCCGATTAGACTATTTTGTATATCCCGACTGGGATTTAAAAAATCGAACTTGGGTTACGATTCAGTTTTCATCCACTTCCTTACGCTGTAGTCACTTTTCTGCGATAGCCAACGCTTCGACTCGCAGTTTGTGTCCTTCACCCTTGGAACTTTGGCTGCACGACGGATGGTCCATTAATAAATTGCCGATTCTGATTAGTTGACCTTCGACCATTTTGGTTCTTTCAGAGTTTGATAGTCCTTTGTAACAGCAAGGTATGGTTATCTTCGTCGTTAAGAACTGATATGACGGTCGTTACGTTTTCGATATTGTTGTATACGATTTTGTCAATTCTGAAGAATGTGCAAGCATCTAAATATGTTCACATACATCATTTTTATTTGCACGCAACTGACAAAGATCAGCGAATGATTTCCGCATATGAATATATTTTTATGGTCTGCGTTGATTTTGAAGCCGTTTTATATGTTAAGAAAAAACGGACAATGCCATTCCAAAGGGCCAAATATCGAAGATGTACTAACACTGCGCTTTTTAATTTCAGATATATTTCAACAACTCGGAAGCATATATAATAAGTTTATTTAGCAGGACATTTACGTAGACGGTTCCTATATCAAAGTTCATCGTGGGCAGCTAATGTGAAGAACTCGAAAGGCGACTATGACTTTCATGGTAATTTTTGACCCTAGAACGGGATATATGTAGGTTTGTACAGGAAG